GAAACGTGTTGTGTGCGGTGAGCGACTACGCAGTGGGTAAAGTTACACCACGACCGACGTATATAAGTTATGACGCGTCCACCTTTAGTTTTCCTTCCCGGAGGTCTGTCTGCTCTAAATAATTGGAAGCCTTTTATCTGAACCACTTCGACGGATTCTTGTAATCAAGATTTTTGGAAAAGTAGCACACAACTTTTGGAATACTCACTACAGTGAATCAGAAGACCGATGTCCGGTAGCTTAGAAAGAATTGAGCAGACATTCGACGACAAAATGATAGGAAAACCAATGCTCTTCAGGTTTCGGTGCTCAAATGCAACTTTCCAACCAGCACGATGTTTTTTTGGTTGCCAGATGAATTTTTGGTGATCCTTTTACCCTTATTTCTCACAGAACGAGAAAAAGCAGGTAAGGACGGTTACTTTGATATATTCCACGGATACTCGTACGGAACTTAAACTAAGCTCGTTGTCGGTTATCATTGAGGTCACCATAATTGATACAAAAGTATATCCAAAGGTTATGGGATGCAAAAAACCAAAGCTCCAGCGATAACAGAAAAATGACACAGCCAATTTCAAAGGCCCCGCTGTGGCGATATGTGGGAAAAATAATCGCGTGGCAGGAGTACAACGGTTGCGTAACTGTTAGCCATTATATAACCTCAACATTGCACTCGTTATCCGGATGATCAAGTTTGGGTCAGACAATCTGGAGAGCCAGATACATCTGCTTTGAAGATAGAACGACCACTGTTAAGAAGGAAGCTTTCAGACAATGGGTGTCTTGAAATGTTTATCCAAAGGTGCTGGATTGAATGAAGAAACCCAGCAGGATTGGGTGGAACAGCAAAAAGCATATGATTCACACGTTCCTTCAGAGAGGCTCCAGCTACTGGAAAAACCACCAGAATTTGTTATACCGCAACTAAGATAACCTTTAAGTCAGTCAAGCTCAGATACGTGTTCTCGAAGTCACTCGTTATCCGATGCCAGAACAAGAATAAACTGTCCTTGTTGACCTCATCCACACTCATTTCCCGATTCAATTGTACATATTGTGCCATCTACATGGGTTGAACCACGCTGAAGTAGTCGAATCGCATCAGCGAGCATCTACCACTTTGGGTCAGACTCGTGGAGATTGCGGCCGGTGAAAGCTCCACTTAGCTCACGTGGTTAAAACCGAACATTCGATCGAAATTTTTCCAACTGAGTCCTAACCCGAGGGCCAGTGCTGAGAGGACTTAAGTGTAATGCTCGCAAGCAGCTGATAAAGATAGACTGCATTATATCTTGGACAGACAAAGTAAAAACGGTCTGATCGGTTACCCCATGATCAAGTGGGTCGTAAGGTTGGGTTCTGCCTGTGAGGCCCAGGGTTTAATAATCAGTTGCGTCGACGCACTGGTAGTGTTGTTGAAACCCAACCAAGTCGAAAAGGTTGGACATTGATCCATAGCTTTTCAGCTCACACTTCGTTTTCTTTGTACACGAAGAAATGCGCTATGTACGTATTACATAATCGGCTTGTTCTCTGTAATCACCCACTGAATTCCACTTCACCGGAACATAGAAATCAGGCTTCGCACCATAGCATCGACTGAGGCACTTAGTATTTGTCTAATAAAACCTTGGTTGTGTGCGCGATAGAAACTGGTTCATACGGTCCAACTGCCCAGGCCAAAATTTGATCACATGGAAAATTAGAAGGTGGCGGTAGTGTTGGTGCTGGTGCTGGCGGTGGTTTTCGTCGTCGTCGTCGTCGTCGTCGTCGTCGAGAAGAGAAGAGAATATCATCAATCAGCATCTGTGAAAGTATAGAAAAATAGCAGAGTCGGATAAGTCCGTCTTCACTTCTAAGGAAATCTCTGGATCGATGGGGGCTACGACAGAGCTTTCTGATTCCCTTTTAAAAAATTTGAAGGACATTTTGATGCTGATCGGAAAACGGGATTGTCTGTTAACTGCAAATATAATTTGTTTTGTCTGAACCATAAAGTATCGATTGAAAACAGTCCCAGGACTCCCTATCAATAAGAATAACTCACAAATGGGTTGCGCAAGTACTCTTTCCTCCGTTAAGTGTCTCACAAACCAACAATCGAATCGCTTTGATTGAAATGATGCTCCTCGCTTCATTATGGATAAATTCGTAATTCTTATCAATGTCGAGGATTTGGTTCAGTTTTTGGTGTGATTGCTTTTGGATACTATACACTGTTGTGTAAGCAAAGGTACCGTCATGGTTTTCTTTTTGCACGATGTTGTTCACCGTGCATTAGCCACTCCGAAGGATCTCCTCTGGAATTAACACAAACTGGCACAGACCCCGAAGGCGCTGTCGTTTGAGTTTAGTATGGCCATTTGTGGATACACATTGCTTAAGTCCAATGCTCTGTGTTAGATGCAGGAACGCAGCTAATTCCATTTCGCCTGTTCGCCGAGCTTGGAAGCTAATTAACACTGAACCCAAATATGAACGAATAAAACATGTAAATTTGACAGCACAGAGCTTTAACGAAAGAACTGCAATGAACATAAAATCCGGTACTTAACAAGTTCGTTTTTGACGAGAATGAAACTACTTTGAAAACTAACTTGGTCGCTTAAACCATTGTGTTTCTTTCCAAAGTTTAACGACAGTATTCTGTATACGAAAAAAGCGTCACATGACAATGATTATTTAGACAAGAGTACAATATAAAGGGATTGGATAGTAATTGTATGGTGGATGTTTAGTCATGCAAGTTTGCGTGCCGAAGAATGTTGGCACAACTGTCAGGAGGAGACAAGGACGATGATTGGTACCGGAACGAGTAGTTAAAACCAAGTTGATAGAGAAACGATCGATATTGGGTGATGTGTCCTTCAACGCCCCATGATACAACGTTGGGCGAGGCATGTTATACGTTGAATACAATGCACCACGACATGATCTCATTAGTTCATACCATAGGATACATGTCCAACAGAGTACATGGATTAACCGTGCAGTATTTGTCTTTCCTGCTTCCACAGTTTCCGACGAATAACACAAGTGTGCGTGTGTGTGTTGGTCATAGCTGTAGGAGTTGCATTTGTCTTTCACAACTGTGTACGATAATGCCTTCATAGTCGAACCGCCCGTTTCGTCGCCGTCAATCGCAGAGTATTGGGAAGTGGATGCAGAGACCATACAAGATGTTGAGATTGAGTCAAAGGTATTGGAATGCTGCGGGAACATTTCCGATAGACGTGCCAGTTCTAGGGCTGCAAAAAGGTCCAAATTATTGTTCTCTTGCAGCAGCTGGGGTCAGCTGTTTGACACTGTATCACATATCGAGGCATCCCATATTACATCATGCGTTTGACAGCTATGCATCTCAAGCCTTAATCATTAGCCAAGGATTTTAAATTGAGAAAAGAATTGACCAAAACTCTATCCCTTGGATTGCTTTCAAGTAACCCAACCTAGTTGGTGGTACAATCTAAGATATACTTAAAAATGTGGGGTCAAATTAATCTGTTCTAACTTTTGATATAAATAATGATACGTACGAAACCGGCTACTCCAGACTTTTTCCCCTATTCACATCGCCTCTCATGCCGAGCTTAGTGCTCCGTCAGGAAATTCGTTTGACGAATGAAATGCAACATTCATTCACGTAATGAATCGTTTTGTGTGCTGTGGAAGACTGAGAGTCCGTAGTCTAAGCATTGCCCATCAAACAACTTGGCGAATTGTTGTTTTGGTAGATTGATGTTTTTATTTCGAGATCGTGAAGGGTTCAGTAGCCTCGATGGGATTCGAACCCACGCATGGATGCCGCCTATGCTTTTATATAGCACACGCTCTACCAGCTGAACTACGAGGCCATACTTGGGTTCAAATCCCATCAAGGCTACTTAACTTTTCACAATCTCGATATAAAATACTCCAATCTGCAAAATAAGAATTTGAACAATTAATCTTGCCTTAGAAGTTCATTCGGTGGGCCCCGGTGAATTCAAAGGAAAACCTGTTGTGGCAGTCAGCTTACATACTAACTGGCGGATGCCATATGCTTCTGTAAGTTGGATGGGTGATTCGAATGTGAAAAAATCAGTGCTATCGGTGTAGCCTTATGGCTCAGATGGTAGACCGTGCACTGTACAAAAGCGTAGGTGGCGTCCGTGCGTGGGTTTAAATCCCACCGAGGCTGCTAAACTTGGTAAAGGCTAAAAGTATGAATATAGGAAAGCGAATCCCGCTATTTTGCAAACTGATAAGGTCGAATAACTTCCTCCCCAAGTATAGGACCACATAGGGGTCAGGTGGCATTAAACTAGTCGCTGGGGGGGAGGGCAGAGTAGCTCCTGTAACCCCAAAGACACTGAATGTTATCGTATGGCTCGATAGATTATGGAGAATCTCAGTTCTGTAGTCGTGCTATGGTCATGCTGTGGCAGGGGACAGTCGTTCTGCCGACCACCACAATGTCCTGGATGAACTTGGCTTGAAACAACAATTTCATGACACCAAAGAAAAATGCTACTAAAGTAATTTATTCATTTTCATTTTTACATTTTTTGATGATCTTTAATGGCACATGGTTCGCTACTACATACTCCCTAACTACGTCATCTTATCCATATTCCATAATATAGACGTTTGGGCAACAATGGAAGAGTACGTTGGAACCAGTTCGCAAAACGTTAGGAAGGATAGAAAAATGGGTCCGCAGGAATTACGCCTAAGACCATCACATAATACTGGATCCCAGCAAAGTCCGAAAACGGAAACCGATACTAACACGCCACCTCCCTCGACTATCACAATTTTATCACTCCACGTTCATCAAGCAACACCGACGAAGCCAATTCCACAAAAAATAAACAATGTTAGCCTACCCCAAGTTGGTCGGCAGAAACAATATCACATACCTAGATAGATTTCTTTGCCGAGAAAACACCGATCGGGTTTGTGCTAGCGCATGGAGCATTCTAGGGCTTATTCGGCGGTCTTTCAACCATCTCACAATGGACGCTTTCAGGCTGCTGTACGCTTCCCATGTCAGACCAAGACTTGAGTATGGTGGTGCGGCGACATACCCCTGCACGGCCGGTGAACTGGTTAAGTTGGAGCGTGTACAAAGTGTTGCCACTAGACTTGTTGTTGGACTACGCGGGACCAGCTATGAAGGTTGTCTACAGGCTACTGGTCTGTTCCCAATTGCGTATCGAAGCCTCGGGAGAGATCTCATCTACCTGAGGAAGATCCTGACAGGTGATATTGGCCCGAAACTGCAACAGTACTTCCCTTTACGGACGGAACACCGCACGCGGGGAAACTTCAGTCCGTTGGTCTTCCGTTAGTCTACCGACTCTCGCGTAGGTCAACAACACTCTGGAATTCCCTTCCAGCGATTGTGGTGGAAGAGAAGACAGACGCTGCTTTCGAACGGTGTCTGGATGAGCATCTGAAAGGGCAATGGAGGAACGAAAACTTGTGGTCGGACCTTCGACCCAGTGGTGATGGGGTTTACACGGGCACCCTGCCCTCTGCCCTCAATCCTGAAGACTGAAGATATCTTTCATGTTTTTATATAATGCACAAGGTTACCCTTGTAAATTCTTCGAGATGGAACCTTTTTGGAAAATTAATCGATTTGACGTCGTTGCCGTTACTGAAACCTAGCTGACCACCGACATTCTCGACTCGGAATTGGGTCTATCAGGTATATCGCTGCTCAGACATGATCGTCCTACACGAAGCGGTGAAGTGCTGCTTTATCATCGAAACAATTTACAGTGTGAACAGCTTGATATTCCCGACGCAGCCCCGATTCGTTATGGTGTTCAATAAGACTCTCCAAAAACGATAGGTGTCTAATCGGTGTTGTGTACCGACCTCCAGCATCTTCAGACTCAGCCAAAGAGATTTTGTTGCAAACCATGAGGAATGCATTATCACTAAAGTTCACCCATCTCCTCATAATGGGTGACCTTAACTGCCCCAATCTCATCAGAACGTGGACCTCCCGCCAGCCATTTAAGAGACAATTATCTCAGTTCTTTGGATTGCACCCATTGTACAACCACGTTACAGAACCCACCAGATTTGAAGCAGGTCACGTACCATCAACACTGGAGTTAGTGCTGACTAACGAGGAGCTGAAGGTGGAATCTGTCAATGTCACGTCTCCACTAGGACGTAGTGATCATACCGTATTAAAGTTTGATTATATAGGCTACGCCTCTACCCAAGAAAACCGAAAGAGCAGTACTTGTGCCATCATAGACTAAGAAAATGCTGCAAAACCTGGAAATATTTAAGCAATGGGTCCTCCTAGAAGACGACNCTGATTATCTTACCGAAATTGTACTGGCTGCAACAAGTATAAAAACTTGTACTAAATCTAAAACTCATCATTCATTCATTCACGGCCGAATAAAGAAATGAATAGAGTAAGAGAACTTTTCCTGGCGGGAATATAGAAGATTTCCATCTATCGAAACTTGGAATAATTATTCCATACTGCAAAATCAGTGTACCAAGTGTGTACGAGAGAAAAAATTGATATACCAAGAAAACCTGGCTCAGAAATTCATTTGTGAAACAAAATTGTTTTATAAGCTCTACAAGGAAGGTGAAATGTGGAATACCAGCATTGAGGTCATCTGGACATGTTTCAACCACTACTCTAGAAGCAGCAGAATTCCTCAAAAAACGGTTCGATCAGGTGTTTACTGTAACGACACCAAGCATTACAGATTCCAAGCAAACCACCCTGTATATCGTATCCGTCACTGGATAACATGGCTTCTGATAGTGAGAAGGTTAGAGCAAAACTACTAACTTTGCGTAAGAATTTAACCCCAGGAGCAGACAACATGCATCCCCGAGCTCTGATGTCCCTAGCCAATAACATTCCTGAACCTCTGGCTGTTCCAAAAGATGTTCAACTAGGCAGTAGTTCAGCAGTCAATGAAGGAAGGGGTGATTTCCCCTATTTACAAAGGGAGATCTCGCAGTAATCCCGCCAACTACCGCCCTGTTATAATTCTTCCTATATTGTCGAAAGTCACGGAGGCTATTGTGGCAGATCTGTTGATGGAATATCTGGAAAAGTATGAGCTTTTGTCTCCAACTCAGCACGGATTTCGGCACAAGCATTCGTGCACCACAAATCTACTCCTTGCATGGGATGAATGGACAAAATCCGTCGATGCAGGCCAGCCATTGGATATAGTTTATTTGGACTTATCCAAGGCATTTGATCAAGTAAAACACCAAATTCTACTGCAAAAACTCTACAACTACGGTGTAAGAGGTTTGGTTCTGGACTGGATCAAGGAGTTTCTCCGACAAATGACCATATCAGTTCGTGTTGGTGATTCATTATCAGAGCCTATCATCGCTGCCCGAGGGGTTCCTCTAGGATCCGTACTGGGACCTCGTCTCTTTCTGGCATTTGTAAACGACCTGCCACATGTCCTTTGACCTAATACACTGCTATTTGAGGACGACGCTAAGATCTGGAGAACTGTAACACATCCTGAGGATTATACAGCACTCCAACAAACGATCGATGCAGCCCACCGATGGGCAATCGCCAATGACATCGAGTTCAGCGTTTCCAAATGCAGAGTTATTTCTATGCGGCACAAGACTCGTTTCTCCTATGTTCTGGGGAACCAAATACTACCGCATTCCACTGATGAAAGGGATTTGGGAGTTATGGTACAGGAGGACGTAGGATGTTCCACGTACTGTGCCAGAGCATCATCCATGGCTCTATAGTAAGTTGAACTATTCAGACGTGTTTTCGAGCAGTTCAAAAGAGCACTATTCCCACGCTTGTTATCAGCGTTCGTTCGGCCACACACGGAGGACGCCGTTTAAGTATGAAATCCATGGTTAAACCGCGACAAGAAGTCTCTAGAACGTCCTCAAAGGCTGGCAACGATATTGGTTA